CACACACACACACACACACACACACACACACAAATACTTAACCAATTAAGTCCGTCGAGCGCTATTTGCAGATGATGGTGTGGAATTGTGCTAGAGTTGTGTCCGGCCTCATTAAATGTCAGGATTAACAATACGGCACTTGGCAATCAAGGCTGCTCTGTGGCTGTTAGTCATTAATCACCATCTGACAGTCCTGAATTGGAAACGAGGAGCCTGTTCACATGTGCTCTGTGTACCTAGTTACCCTCTTGGTAATCAGTCTCGGAAAAGTTTTCTTTGACTCCCTGCCTGAGAGGGCCTCTGTCCTGGCCAGGGGGCAGAGGGTCATTAAACTTTGCTCCCCTCTTCTTCTCCCCCTCACTGGGAAAAGAAGTCGAGGTCCTAAAAAAACAGGAGAGAGGGAGCATATTGTTTTTGGCCTACTCTTTCCCTCCTAGGCCTGTTTTATGTAGCCTTGTTTTTATATTCTGGCCCGATGGCAGGAAAATTCTTTTTCTCCCTGAAGAAATCCTGAAAGACAGGGAGGGGGCTTGCTTCTGTTCCAAATCCCAAATGCTGGGATGTGTTTATGTGTGCCTTCCCAAGCTGCTCAGGTGTGGACCTGTGTCTTTCAGAAGGGACCCTGAACTGGTTCCAGGTATTGCTTACAGGAACTCCAGTCTCGACTTCACCAGGGCTAGTTTCTGGTTGGGGTACATTCTCAGCCTCCTTCTGCACTCATTCATTTATCCATTATATCCAAGAAATATCCAGAGAGCACCTGTTACATGCCAGGCACAGACTGGACACTGTGGTTACAGCAGGGAGCACACTGCCATCACGGGGCTGTTTTTAGTGGAGTAGGTAAGTATCTCTTAGAGAATCTTACGCTGGAGTGGGGAAGTGCTCTTGCCCTAGATTCTTGGAGTGTGTGTTGACCAACTGCCAGGTCCTACCAGCATGCTAACCTGGAGCTGCCTTTCTTGGGAAAGTGTTCCTGATGTGGAGATTTCCTGACCTGACTTCTTCTCACCCTTAGTGGCCTCATGTCTCATTCCCTTCAGACTCTATCTCTTGTTTACTTAGGTGTTCTTTCTTTCTTTTTTGGTAATGGGATTGACCCAGGGGTGCTTAACCGCTAAGTTACACCCTCAGCCATTTTTATTTTATTTATTTTATTATTTTGAGAGAGGGTCTTGGCCTTATTTTGAGAGAGTTGGTTATGGCATTGCTAGGTTGCTGAGGCTGGCCTCAAACTTGCAATCTTCCTGCCTCACCCTTCCGAGTTTCTGAGTCTCTGGGATTATAGGTGTGCACTGCTAAATCTGGCACTTAGATGCTATTTCTAACATGTTTGGTGGACACTGATGTATTAACAGAGCTGTTTTTTTTTTCTCTTCCAACTTTCTTTTGAACTTTTTTTTTCCTTTACTGGGCATTGAACCCAGAGTCTTGTGTGTGCTAAGAAAGTGCCCTAGTACAGAGCTATGATTTTGGGTTTTATGGGCACATTCTTATGGTGTTTTCCTAGGATTTCATTCCTTAACTCCAAGGAATGACTTGCCATTCCAGCCATCATGGCATATTGGTAGGGGAAGGAAGCTGCTGATTGTCCCATCCAGTGGGTCTTCTCTGCCTGCTTCTACGGTACAGGTGGCTGCTATAGTCAAGGGTCCTCAGAACGAGCACCGGTTTCCTTAGGACCATCCAGCCTCATCCAGACATAGAGCGACAGACTAGAGAAAGGAGTCTTTCTGGAACAACAGGTACATTCTTTCTTCTTCCTGGTTGCTCTTTCTTTTGTCCTTCCTTTCAATTTCATCCCTAGGGCTCTTCTCTCATTCAACTAATGACTTTGGTTGCAAGGCATTGACAAATGTTTGGCTCTGTAGAGGTCAATTAATGGAACATAACAAGCACTTATCGATGGTGCATCATGTGCTTGACACTGTCCTAGGCATGGGGGACATGACGATAAATAAAATACTCTTCTTGCCTTTAGGGACTGTATGCTTCTGTGGGAGGAGGCGGGAGTCACTCATATGGAGAAGGACTATGGAGATAAAAATAAGGAGTTGAAAATATTTAAAGCAAAGGGAAACTAATGGCTTGGGGTAAAAAATGAGAGCAGCACATTTGTGAGTGGGTCATAGTTCTTTTCGGAGGAAGGAACAACTCGCTGTAAGATCTTAATGTCGAGGAAACAGTGGGATGTTCCTTTGGGTACCTGTGAAGAGTTCTGGTAGGGACAGTGGAAGTGCACGTTGGGGTCACTTGGGGAGGACTTGAAGCTAAGGTAAAGGTTTGCTCTCATTAGACAACGAGGATCCAATGAAAGCCTATGCTCTGGCTTGGTTCTGGAATGTCGCCTGATGGCCCATGTGTTGGAAAGTTGGTCCCCAGCTTGATGTTGTTGGGAAGTAGTGGAAACTTTAAGAGGTGGGGTCCAGTGGAAGGTCTTAGGTTACCAGGAGTGTGACCTTGAAGGAGATTGTGGGTCCCTTCACTTTCTGCCTGCCAGCCATAAATTGAGTGGCTTCACTCCTTCACATACTCCCCGCCATGTTGTGCTGCCTCACTGTAGGCCCCAAAGCAATGGGGCCAGCTGACCATAGTCAGAAGCCTTCAAAACTGTGAGCCAAAACAAATCTTTCCTCTCTCTCTTTTTTTTTTGCTTAAATATTTTTTTAGCTGTAGTTGGACACAATACCTTTATTTTGTTTACTTATTTTTTGTATGTGGTGCTGAGGATCGAACCCAGTGCCTCACATGTGGTAGGCAAGCCCTCTATCACGGAGCCACAACCCCAGCCCCCCTTCCTCTTTTAAAGTTGGTTATTTGAGGTATTTTTTATAGTAATGGAAAGCAGACTCACACAGCCTACAAGTTTCCAAAAGTAAGAAACATAGTCTTTCATATTTTATTTAAAAATTAGCTTTCTGGAAGAGGGAAGGCTAACTTCCCTTGAGCCTCATATTCCCATAAGAACCTTGTAATTATATATTGACTTGTGTGATTTTTCATTGAATTTTTCTTTCCATCAGTGGCTGTCCATTAATAGCTCCAGGAATGAGAAGTTCCCAAGGCTCTTCCCCAGAGTTTCCCTGCAATGCACAGGAGAGACCTTTTTCCTGCACAAGCTCAGCTCAGGCCTCCCTCTTGCTTGACTTGGTGTGTGGAGGTCATACCTTGCCCAAGGCTGTTCTTGGGTGCCTACGGACAAGCGGTGGGTTCTCAGTTTCACTCTGCACCCCTTGATTTCCCTTTCTCCTCCCAACTCTTTGCTCTTCTGGTTCCTCCCGGGTTTGGCTGAGTTACTGAGTTTTTGTCCTTTTGTGAAGATATTGTTAATAGGGACAGCACTATGACAGGGGAGTTTGGCTGATGTTCAGGTGTGTCTTTCCCTGGCTTGAAACACTCTTCCTTCTTCACCTGGTTGATCTTGCTCAATTTTCAGATCTCAGCTTCAATATCATGTTCCCAAAGAGGTTTTTCCAGAGCTTAGTTCTGAGATGGAGATTCCTTGTCATATTATCTTTTGTGGTCTGGATCTGGAATGTCCCTCAGTCTCATGTTAAAGGCTTGGTTCCCAGCTGGTGGCACTATTGGGAGGTGGTAGAAACTCCTAGTTGGAAGAAATGGGCCACTGGGGGGCATGTCCAATGAAGGGCATATATTTTCTCTACCCCAATCTCCCCTACTTCTTGGCTACCTTGAAGTGAGCAGCCAACTCACCCTCTCCACCATGATGTTCTGTCTCATCACAGGCCCATAGCAATGGAGCCAGTGGACCATGGAATGAAACCTCTAAAACTATGGAACAAAATAAATCTTTCTTTTTAAAGTTGATTTTCTCAAGTATTCTGTCACAGTGGTGGAAAGCTAACACACAACCCTCTCTGTGCATACTATACAAACTCTACTTTTCCTTCATCTTTACTCACAATTTATGATTATATATTGATTTGTTTAGTTTTTGTCTCCTTATTTGTCTGCCAGAGCAGCCTGTTTTTGGCTCGTTATTATCTCCCCAGAGTCTAGCCCAGTGCTTAGCATATAGCAGATGCTCGGGAAATGGTACTGAATGAATGAAATATGGTCTTGGGTCCATGGATGATCTCAGAGTTGGTTAGGCATTGATCAAATGGCCTGGGGTGGGTGAATTCTGTAGTTTCCTTCTCTCTTTTAAAAAGGAAAAGGAGAAAAGAAAATAGTTATTGAGGAGAACAGGCCCCAAGAATGTGTTTATCCTGTTCCACACAAGAGGTCCTGGGTGACCACCCTGGTTACAGGGATCTAGCTTCTCCGACAGAGTCCACATACCTAAGCCTGGTTTGAAAAATAAAGCTATGGATGTTTAAAAAAGAAACAGTGAGTTCCTGACCCTGACTGTTCCTGCCTGTCCCTGAAGGGTTCTGACGTTGAAATCCCCAAAGACATTTTGGGGCCCATTTTTTCTCCTAGGCAACATGACCTAAAATCTTCTGGGGAAAACAGAAACATGGTAGAGCCTGGAGCAGGGCTGGTGTGAGGCATCAGCAAAGGAGAAAAGTCAGCGTTGAGGGTGGATGGGAGCACTCCCTGGACACCTTCCTCCCCTCTTTCTCAGTGCTCTCCCCAGCAAGTGTGAGGGGTGTAAGTAAGAGCTCAGGGAGACCAAGAGGTAGACATCGCTCCCAAGGTACATGGGGTAAGGAGCGTCTTCATCTTCACAGTGGTTCTCAGCCATGGCTAGTGCCACCCCCAGGGGCATTTGGGGTTGTAGGGGATGGTTTTAGGTATTACTTGGTGGGGGGTGTTATAAGCCATCAGTGTCTCTGGACTAAGGATTTTAAATTTTCCATCTTCTACAGGAGGATCCTGTCTCCTAAAGAGTTGTCCTGCCCCAAATGTTAATGAGGCCTCTTCTGAAACACTCTGAAATAAGAAAACAACAACAACAATAATAGCAACAACAAAACAACCCAACACATTTGATGCTTTATCCTCCAGGGCTTTAGACACCCTATGTTTTCTGTCCCCAGAGCTCCTGAATCCATGGAGAAAAAGCAAAGAGACCCATCCCTGACCACGGGGGCATGTGACATACACTCAGGGAGAGCACAAGTCTCTGTCCTCTGCAGTCTCTGCTCAGCCCTCCCTCTGCAGAGCAGCCCGGGGGGCCCTGCTCGCTCAAGTCAGGCCTTCCCGCTAGGACGCTTAACTTTTTCCATCTGCAGGGGCAACAGAAAACGGAAGGGGAAGGGGAGAGATGGGCGGCTTACAGTGGAGTGAGGGGCTTGGGGGAACATCCGAGGGTTGGTGGGAAAAGTTTTTTGGGGGTGTCGCCGCGAGGGGGAAGTGCTGGGGGAAGTCAAAGGCAATCCGCTGTAGCCTGTTGGGAGGACGGCTGTTGGCACCAGGAGAAATCCATCCAGCGGAGCCAACCCTCATTAATCATCCGGGCGGCTGAACTGCCAGCTCCTTTCAAGATCTTTCAAGAAGGGTTTTCACCCAAAATAGAGTTGAAAATGTGCTGGGCCCTACTCAGAATCTCATCAGTCTGGGCATTATGGGAAGTGTCAGGCAGGCTGTGACAGACAAGGCCCACTCTGTTCAAGGGGTCCTGACTCCCACAGCCTGTCATATCAAGCGCCTGATCAAATTTGACAGCTTCATTTGTACCTACAGAATAGATAAAAGGGGCTGTTCATTGAAACAAATGGAGGGGAAGGGGTGGGGGAGGGAAGAAGGGAGGTGAGGGTGAGAGGGAGCGTGTGTGTGTGTGTGTGTGTGTGTGTGTGTGTATGTGTGTGTGTGTGTGTAGTGTGTTTTGGGGGGAGGGATGGCATTGGGGGAGGGACAGAAGGGGGAGGTTATGGTTAGGAGCAAGGTGCAAAGGAGCCAGGTCTCTGACAACTCTTCTCCAACACTCCCAAAGAAGAGGGCGGACAGGTGAGTATCACCAAGAAGGAGATGGAGCCAGGCATGGTGGCCAACGCTTATGATCTTTGATACTTGAAAGGCTGAGGCAGGCGAATCACAAGTTTGAGGATGGCCTCAGAGTGAGACTCTGTCTCAAAATTTAAAAAAAGAATATATTTGAAAAGGCTGGGGGTGTAGCTCAGTGGCAAAGCAACTCTGGGTTCAATCCCCAGTTCCCAAATACAAACAAACAAACAAACAAAAAGGAAGGGGGATGGGAATGACATCTTCACCTGTCAGTGAGACCCTCAAGAAGCTCCTCAGCCTCCCTCACTGTGCTCAGGCCCCAACACTGTATCAGAGCCAGGAAGGCTCTGCAAGGAGGCCCGCCCAGGGTGGGCAGCTGTGCCTGGTAGAGTCAGGCAGCAGGCATGGTACACTGTTCAATTCCAAGCCCCGAGCTACAGTTATGTTTTGCCAAGCACCTTCATTCCCTCCTGCTGTCGCCCTTCAATACGACTTCCCTGCTCAGAACCTGTAGCTTCCTCTTTGGCTGGCTGCTGGGTGGCCGCACTGACTTCAGGTGCCTGCCTTTCTGCTTGTGTTAATGGAAGCTGGTTGGTGTGAACTTGTACAATTCTACTTTGGGCCCTGTTTAGGCTGCCCACCCCACCAAATCTCAAAGCTCTCTCCTTCCTCCTCTTGGAGCTGAGAGACTGAATGAATCCTTCCAGCTCCCAGGGTCCTCTTTATTTGTTGTTATCATACTTTACATTATTAGTATGTTCCTGTACTATTTTTCCCTACTAGATTGTAAGCAGTTTGATGTGAGCGGCTGTGTCCTATGCATCTTCTATGCTCCAAAAGCATTTAGCATACATAGAAGTTTCTCCAGAAAAATTTCTGATTCATGGTTAGCATTCCACAATCTCTGCTTACCTTAAGGCTCAGCTGTGACTATCAGGAGGTGAGCCTGTGATCAGGGGATCAGCGGATAGAATTTTCCTGTCTGATTCATGGTGTTAGGAGGAGAGGGCCGGAGGTGAGCACCCACGTGGAGCCTTTGGAGGTTAAGAAATAGGTTGAGGCAGGCTGAGTTTGGTGGTGCACGCCTGTAATCAAAGAGCCTTGGGAGGCTGCAGGTTCGAGGCCAGCTTCAGCAACTCAGTGAGGCCCTAAGCTACTTAGTGAGATCCTGTCTTGAGGGAAAAAAAAAAAAAAGGCTGGGACTGTAGCTTAACGGTAAAAGTTCAATTCCCAGCTAAAAAGAAAAAAGAATAAAAGGCTGAAGCAGCCCCAGGCTAGGTCTCATGGGCACTGAGGACTTGCTCCCATAGCTAGATGAGCTCATGTGCTGCACCACTTGCAGAATGGTATGTGGTGGCTCTGGTAGCAAGAACATAGGCTTTGTAGTTAGAGAGATTTGGTAGGGGTCGTGCCTCTACCATTTACTGGCTTTGTGACCTTACGCAAAATGTGTTCCATGACACATAACATGGCAGAGAATTGCTGTTGGGATTAAATGAATTAAAAGTGTTTAGCATGGTGCCTGGTACATAGCAGGTGCTCAAGAAATGTTTGAGAAGGAAAACGCTTACATTTGTGTCCTATGGCCCAGACACTTTCATTTGAACTTAGGGCACATTCTATTGACAGCTCTTGTTTGTCAGTGACCATTGATCATTATCACTGTGTATCAATCCTTAGCCTTTTGTGTTTCACATATGCCAGCAGCGTTAGAGTCCAAAACATCAAAGGTCCCTGTCCTCCTTGTTAGAAGGGCTCATCAATATGTCACCTCCATGCTCAAATCTGTGGTTCTTTGCAAGCCACCAGGTGGAGGGCTCAGCTCTATGAAGTATGCAGGTCACAGATCTCATTGGACTTCAAGGGCCTCATAGTCCTGAGCCTTCCATCCTAACCTCAGTGAAGCCAGAGAAGTGGTCCCTCCCTGGGGGTTCCTGTGCTCCCCAGGATTTTAAATGTAAACTTTTGAGGAGCTTCTATTGGGAGGATTGAGGAAGCAGGTGAGGGTGAGCTGGGTGTGGAGGGAGAAAGTGAGCTTCCTGTTGGGGCCCTTGGTGGTCACTGGTGTTCTTCATCTCACCCTGTGGTTTACGCAGTTTCCCCGGTGTAAAATGGGGTGTGTGTGTGAAGGGGAGCAGGAAGTCTCAGACAACACCCGGGTGGATTCACCTCCAGTTCTTCCCTCTGGGTACCCGGGAGGGTCAACGTCCCATCCTTGCAGTGAGGAGGGGCTGAACCAGGGCTTGCCAGAAGGTCATGAGTGGAGTGACAAATGCCATTTTGGGCCTGAAACATGTAATAGTTCATGCAGGTGTCCCTTGGTCGCCCCTCTGTCAGTCGGTGGGCTGATTAATTAGATAGCACTGTGTGATGCTTTCTGATGTGTCAGATTGTTAAGGCTGGACTACAGTCCCCACACGAATCTAGGTGCTTCAGTGAAATGATTTTGCAGATGTGATCCAAATCCCTAATCAGTGGAGTTGAAGTTGGTCAAAAGGAAGATGATTTGGGGTGGGCCTGGTCGAAGGGAGGGTTTAGGCCTTCCCTTAACTCAGAGACTTCATATGGCTCCTGCCAAGAGAGTTGTAACCTATTTGTGAACTTCACTTCCTGCCTGCCAGCCTTACAGACTTCTGATTTGCTTAATAAGCCACCAGAATTGCATAAACCAATATTTAAGAAATTCCTTACCACGTCACTGTTTCTGCTTGTCTGGTTGAACCATAACTGATGGCAATCCTTGCCAATCTGCAGTATATATGTAGTGTAAGTAAGAAAGAAAAAGACCTGTGTTATGTCAAGCCACTGAGAATTGGGGGTTAATTTGTCGTCACTGCACAATCTAGCCTAAACTGACAACTGCAATAGCATTTATAGAGCCCTTAGCACATTATGCATCAGTTATGCATCTGTCTCCCACTCAGCTGACTAGAGGCAAGGCCAGCACCTCTCACATCTTTTGAATTCCCAGAGCAGATTATAGTGCAGTCATCCCTTGGTTATCTGAGGTGAATTTCACGATGTTCCCTCTGATATCAAAATCCACAGATATTCAACGTTTCTTATATAAAACAGTCTAGTATTTGCATATAACTCAGATGCATCTTTGCTTAAACTTTAAATGATCCCTAGGTCACTTATAATTCTCAATACAATGTAAACATTATGTGAATACTTGTTATACTGTATTGTTAAAGGAATAATGAGAAGAAAAAAAATGTGTTCAGTTTAGATGCAATTGGTTTTGTTTTGTGTATGTTGTGTTGGGTATCAAACCCAGGGCTTTGTGCATGATATGCAAGCACTCTACCACTGAGCTATATCCCCTGTCCTATATGCAATTTTTCAAGAGGATTTTTTTTTGGTCCTGGTTAGTTGAATCCATGGATGTGGAACCCAAGGAAGGACACAGAGGGACAATTGTACTTATTATTTAGTGGGCACTCAAAATATTCACTGAATGTGTTAAACTCATGAACTGACCAGCATCTTAGCTCTTGGATGTGAAGGGCAGGACCCACTTCACTTGAATTGTGTGTAGTCTAGTATAGTCCCAACACACTCAACAGTTAATACTCTTTGATGGATAGGTCCCTTGTTCTATCTGTAACCTCTACACCCCTCAAGATACAAGTCTGAAGCTACTTGGCTAAGTGTAAAGAT